GGGGCCCTGGGAGTCTTGCTGTGGCTACCCCCACCACCTCCCTACCTGCGAATCCTATGCCCTGTGCAGCCCCTGAGGGCACAGGAAGGCCTGGCTTTCCTGAGTTCACAGGACCCTAGTGATAGGTGGCCAGGACATATGCTAGGTGTTGAGAGGCAAAGGAGATGGCCTGGGAGGTCAGTGGGCCCTACAGCTGCGCCAAGCCTGGGTAGCGGGGAGAGGATGGGTCAAGAAGGCTTCATGTGTCTTGGTGTCTGTTTTTACAGCTTTGTAGAGATGTTTGGTATTTACTGTTTAGTGGGAACTAGGCCAGTCGCATCCCTCCCTCATGCCTGTCAAAACCAAAGCTGCGCCTTTTGTGTCCCTCCCACGGCTCTGAAGGCAGTGCCCTCACACATAGACCCTTGGGGCCTGGCCCATCATGAGCATGCTGCTATTACCGGTGTGGTTGTTCCACGGCTGGGCGACTGTCCCTCAACAGCACTAACCCAGTGTGCTCTCAGCCCACCACTGGGCATCCGGTGCTGCACAGGTGCAGACTGCTCCTGGTTGTGGACTTCCAAGCAGCACTGGGGTTCAGGTGGGCTGTCCACATGGACGGCCATATGGGATGGCCTGTGTTCATATTCCATATTCCAGGTTATTGTCTTAGGTCGGATCACCAGATGTGGGCAGGAGCAGTGGGCCTCTTAAGTCATAGCAGGAGAGGGGGGGCCTTTTTAGACCTTGGATGACTCTTCCCTGTTCCCGCCCGCCTCGCTGGGCTGCGTGGAAGGAGAAACATCTTGGAGGGTGGAGACTGCCCTGTTTTTTTCTTTTGCCACTGAACCTGGGTGTGACTCAGGCACAAGGCTGCCTTTCTCTGCTGGAGGACAGAAAGGTTCAGTGACTGGCCCAGGGTCACACCATCCTTCCTCCTAGCCCAGTAGCCTTAGCCAAGAGTCAAGGTGGTGTGGGGGAACACTTGGGCTCTCTTGAGAACCCACTCGGATAGGGGCTGACACTGTTATAGAAACCAGGCAAGACTTCCCAGCTGGCTGTCCCCACCCTGCATGTGGCACCCTGTTCTCACACTGGGCCTTGCCCTAGCCTCAGCTCCTGGTTGAGCTAGGAGGGTAGTGGGGCACGGTGGGGCACGTAGTGGGACACAGTGGGCAGACTAGGGCTTCTGGGAGCTGGGTTGGGGCATGGGCTCAGGTCTGGCTGTCCTCCCCTCCCCTGCTGACCAATCCTGTTGTGGTCTCCGCAGCTCTGGAATGATGAGGTGGACAAGGTGAGTTGAGTCTTGGGGGAAGCAGGGATGGGGCCCAGATCCAGGCATACCTGCTATTGTGGGCTCTGCCCTACATCCACTGGGGGTACTATTGGGGGAAGAGGGGACTACTTGCCCTCTGAAGGGAGTTGCCTTTGGGAGGCATTTGCTAGGTGGATTTTCCTGATGGGTGGGGGATGGAAAGTCTGTCACTTTGGCTGCCCCTAGGAGTCCTGAGGGGGGTCTAGCTTCTGCAGGGGTCAGAGCTCCGGGTGTGGAGTCAGGTAGACCCAGATGTCTCTCTGCATCCCCGGGGAAGTAACAGGCTGCTCCTCAGGGTACAGGGGAAGGTTAGGGGAAGGGGAGTTGGGTAGGTGATGTGTGCACTCAGATCTGCCCTTCCCTGCCCTGCCCAGGCGGAGCAGGAGCTCCGAGTGGCCCAGACGGAGTTTGACCGGCAGGCAGAAGTGACCCGTCTCCTGCTTGAGGGAATCAGTAGCACTCACGTGAGTTCTGCCCTCCTGCCCCCAGTAAACCCACCTATAAGCAGGAGTGAATGTATTCAGGAGGTGAGCAGGACAGTGTTGGCCTTGCATCTCTGAGGATGACTCTTAGCACAACTGGAGGGGCCTTCATAGAGCAAATGCCACAGGGTAGGGTATCTATCCCCCAGTGGGACAGGTGTCTGGGACAGAACACACTAGAGTGTTGGGCCAGGATCCAGCAAAGGACTACTGTAGAGAAATTTTTTTGTCCCCTGAGGTTCTGCTCATCTTGGGGGCAGGAAGTTGACCTCGGCACTGGCCTGATCCCCACAGGTAAACCACCTTCGCTGCCTACACGAGTTTGTCAAGTCTCAGACAACATACTACGCACAGTGCTACCGCCATATGCTGGACTTACAGAAGCAGCTGGGCAGGTATGTGTGTGATGCCCCCACTCCCAGGCCCAGTGGGCAAGGGCCTTCTCCCCAACACACAGAGCCTGACTGGAGGGCTGTGCCTGGAACCCACTCTGGGCTCACCCTCAATTTGCATGTGGGTGAGGTGGCTAGACTTGGTAACTGCCAAGTCCCCTGGGGCTTTGAGAGCAGTTTCTAGAGAATGCCTGGGGTGTGGAGCTTGGGAACAGGACCATCTCACTCTTGCTTTGCTCTTCCCTTTGTGCTGCCAGCTCCCAGGGTGCCATGTGAGTAGTGAGGATGGGACTGGGGAGGGGCTCTTGCCTTTGGAGTATCTGTTGGGGCCTGGAGGACTCCCTTGTGGGTATGACTCCCACTTGCTGAGGTGCTCCCTCCTTTCCAGATTCCCAGGCACTTTCGTGGGCACCACAGAGCCTGCCTCCCCGCCCCTGAGCAGCACCTCACCCACCACCACTGCAGCCACTATGCCTGTGGTGGCCTCTGTGCCCAGCCTGGCTCCTCCAGGGGAGGCTGCACTATGCCTGGAGGAGGTGGTGCCCCCTGCCAGTGGGACCCGCAAAGCCCGGGTGCTCTACGACTACGAGGCTGCTGACAGCAGTGAGCTGGCCCTGCTGGCTGATGAGGTGGGCCTGGTACCACAGAGAGGGCAGGCATGGGCTGTGAGGTGCTGCCAGGGAACCAGGACTGGGTGCACAGAGCCTGGAAGGGTGGGCAGTGGGTATGGTGAGCCCAACGGCTTTATGAGGGGCATCTGTCTCTAAGGAGGTAATCCTTACTCCACTGGGTCTCAGCAGTGCAGGCGAGGCAGTAGACACTGCCACTGAAGGTACAGATGTCCTCATCACTGGGAGGTGGCAGGTCTGTCCCCACTTACTCTTGGAGCCACCTCTTCCCCTAGTTGGGGCATGACCTTCCCTCTCTACCATCCTTCTACAGCTCATCACTGTCTACAGCCTACCTGGCATGGATCCTGACTGGCTCATCGGTGAGAGAGGCAACAAGAAGGGCAAGGTCCCTGTCACCTACTTGGAACTGCTTAGCTAGACAGGCCACCTCTCAGCCCCTGCCTTTTCTGGCCTGGCAGGAAAGGACAGGCATAGCCTGGCCACTTATCTTGTTTGCTGGCGATACAGCTGCTCAGGGTGGGGAGACTACTTCACTGAGTTCTGCCCTTGTCCCGTCAGCTGTGAGGGAACCCAAGAGGCTGAATGTCCCTGCCCTACCCCGATCCTGCTTCTGACCTGTGGTTCTGGAGCCCCCAACCCTGCCTGCACCTCCCGAGCACCCCAGCTCTCTTGGCTTCTGCTAAGGAGGGGGGCTGCCTGCAGCAGCTGCACGTGGCACCTAGTCCAGGGTGGGGGCAGCCACAGACAGACCTAGGAAGCCCTGGGGTATCCTTGGCAAGAAGAGAGCCCCTGCTCTTAGTTGCCAAAAGCAGCACAGGGGAAAAGGTGAAATAGGCAGGGCTCTAGGGGGAGGGAAGAGCATCTTTTGGTGCTACCCTGCCCCATCCCCCTCACAGGGGGCTCAACCAAGCCTGGTGGCTGCAGCCTTCACCTCTTCACACTCACTTTTTAACTGGTGTTTCTACTTCTGCCTGTCTGCTTGCTCTCTAGCCAACGACAAATAATAAACCCTCCTGTGTGCGAGTTGCCTGGGCTCCTATCAGGGGCCAGCCCTGCAGGTGGGAAAGGGAAGGGAAGACTTGGCTTTGCCCCACTCTTTCTGGGTGGGGTGACCTACAGTGTAAGGGTGGTCAGCAGCTGGCCCCCTAAGATATACTAGTGAAGGTTAAAAGGCCAGCTCCAAGGTGGGACCTGTAGCCTTTCCAGCAATCCCTTCCTGACGCGGAGCCTGTGCCTCAGGGAGCACTGCTATTCCCAGACATGAAGCTGCACAGGAAACACTTCATTCCTGGCTCAGTGCCCATAGCACAGTGGTTATGGCGCTCGCCATATGCACCAAGGCTGGGGGATTCGAGCCCAGCCAAGGCCAGCTAAACAATGACAAGTGAAACAAGAAAAACAGCTGGGCGTTGTGGCAGGTGCCTGTAGTCCCAGCTACTTGGGAGGCTGAGGCAAGAGAATCGCTTAAACCGTAGAGTTTGAGATTGCTGTGACACCATGGCACTCTACTGAGGGCGACATAGTGAAACTCTGTCACATGCATAAGAAAAGAAAACATTTCATTCTTAAGAAAAACATTTCTAAACGTGGGTGGATTGTGAAGTGGACTACAGAACCCACCTGACAGTTTAAGTTCAAGTAATTGGTAGCTGTCAGTACTTTCTGCTGATCTGACATGGAGCCTCACATGCCTGTGTTCTCACATTGTCCTGGGCATCCACAATTTACAGATGAGGAAAGATGAGCAAGACAGTCACCACCTCAAGATACCACAACTGGCAAGTGGCCATGCAGAGACCCAAGCCCAGGTCAGCCTAATTCTAGAAACCTCTAGATAGCCCTTAGTGGGGCCTAGCACTTTCTGACTTAAGTGCTAAGGAAGCCAACAGCTGGCTGGGCTTCTGAAGAGGGGGATGAGGAAGGTAGAGACACAGCTATAGACAGGAAGGTGCAGAGCTTCAAGAAAGCTACACCTGAGAGAGCTCAGCCAGCTGGGCAAATTGGAGTTCACAGACAGGACAATAAAAGGAACATCTAACAACAACCACCCAGCACACCCATCTCCCTGAGGATGAGTCAACCATTCATAGAGATCCTGCCTTCCCCAAGTCACCACCTGGGCCTTTTGCCTAGGGAGACTACTCTTCAAGACTCTGTGAGGTGGCTTGTCATTTCCAGGCCTTAGTTACATGTGACACAGTTGTCTATAAACAGTATTTTTTAATATATGTATAAATAGACCACAGTATTACCAAAAAAACTGCCAGAACAGATCATGGAAAACAGATTTTTAACCCCCTGCATAGAGTCTCCCTCCTGGACAGCTGTACACCAGCTCCTGCCTCTCCCTGGGCCAGCAAAGTGCTGTGGGGAATGCTCAAAGGAAAGGAATTCAATTCTTTGGGGGCATTTTGAATTCGACAGCCTGAGCACAAGGGGCTCTTGGCTCTCTGCCCCTTCTGTTGACATCTTCATCTATTATAAAAATAATGTCAGCAGGTAGGTGGCTGGAGTCATGGCCGCTCTGGGGAGGGGGTGACTGGATCTGCTCTCTGTTGCAGACAGGCCCCAGCAGCCAAAACACTCCCACCATCTGGGGCAACAGTGCTGGAGAATGGTAGGTGGGCAGTAAGCCACTGCCCTATCTTTGCACGTGATGGACAAAGGCCTGCACTAGTTGGATAAGAGGCTCCTGGCTCTCAGGGCTGGCTTTGGAGAGAGAGGTGGACTTGGCTTGTGATGAGGGGAGGACGCCAGCAGCAGGAGAGCTGGGGGCTCCCCGGCGGAAGTAGCGTGAGAGGCTGGAGAGCAGTGTGCTCTACAAAAAAAAAAAAAAAAAGGCAGCTCAATGAGGCCTAATGCTTTTGGATTACCACCCCACCCCTCAGGAGCTAGCCAGGCAAGAGCTCCACCAATCATAACCCCCTGTATCCATCCATACCAACTCTGAGCTGAGCTCCTGCTTCATCCGCTGCTTGTCCCGGGGATGTACAGCTGGATCCCTAAGGTACCGCATTGCCTGGGAGATGAGCAGGTAGAAGCAGTTTTCCATGGTAAACATCAGGAGGGACCTGGGAGGGAGGGCAGGCTGTTGGCACTGTTGCACAGAGCCAAGCTGACAAGTATAAGGAAAGCCATTTAACCAAGAGAACAGTGGGCCCATGCTTGCCCCAGCCCCTTGTTAGATCCCAAAAGGAGGTCTCACTTCAATGTCCTTGTTCCTTCTGCCTGTGTGCTGAGCCCCACAGCCTGGGTGAGGGGCTCCTTTTTCTTGTCCAGCTAGAGGAAGAGAATAAGCAGTAAAAAATAAGCTGACAATAACAGCTCCCAGTTGCTGAGAGTTTTCTGCACATTGGTGACCTCATTTAATCTTTAGGCTGGTTCTATCCCTAGGAAGGTCATAATAACATGCCCAAGGTTAGCTAGGTGGTGGCAGACTAAAGAACAGTGGGTTCAGGGCAGAGTCTGGCAGTACCCAACTTACCTCTCCAAGCATGTTGAGGGCCACATTCACTGTGGCCAGAAGGGTCCCAAAGGAGGGGGCTACTTCAGAGTCAAAGGTAGGGGTGGTAAAACTCAGGGCAAACAGGAAGTTGTATTCAGCAAGGTCCAGGGACTACGAGGCAAGATGAGACTGACCTAGGACCCAGCTAAGACACCAGGCAGTGCTCAGTGCAGAGCAGAGGGGATCAGAGCACAACACAGCATTCAAAGCTCAGGGAAGGTGGTAGAGCCACCACATGGTGGCACCCAGTACCTGATCCAGCAGGATCTGGCAGACATCTGGGGTGAAGTGTCGCAGGGCTGCCAGGGTCCTGCTCAGGATCTTGAGAAGGCCATACTGGACTGTATGCAAGGCCCGCTGCTCTGAGGCCTCTGTGTCAGCAGTGGGCTGCTTGGAGGAACAGCAGACAGGGGCAGCAGGTGTAGCTATAGGAGCGATGGGCGGTCGCTGGACTCGGGGGGTGACAGCTGAGGGGAGGCCATCTCCATTTTTGTTCTGGGGAGTCAGGAAATAAAGGTGGAGCCCACTGCAGCCAGAGTGAGGCATTCCAGGGCACTCGGGCTCGGTTACCTGTAAGTAGTGCTGCAGCATCTTGCGGCTGTGCAGGAGGGAGGTACAGGCCTGGCACAAGTAACCCAAGTTGACCTGGGACAGACACAGGAGGGAGGAAGAAGATCCTCTTGGCGGCAGCCCCCGTCATCTGACCAGACTGACCCAACAAGTGTCTACACAATACCAACATGCTTTCTCACAACACTCTTCTCTTACCTACTACTGCTCTCTTGTCCATACTCTGCTTACAGCCATTAAGCATGCAGGACTGCAAAGTCATGGTCTGCAGTGCTCAGGCCTGCAATGTTGGTCTGCACTGTTACCCTAGGACCTAGCTAAATGCCCAGCACATCTGATTCTCAACTGTAACTCTGTCCTTAAGGTATCTGAATAAGGTTCATCTGTTACAGCTCAACTTTTTTTTTTTTTTTTTGAGACAGAATCTTACTTTGTTACCCTTGGTAGACTGCAATGACATCATAGCTCATGGCAACCTACAACTCTTGGGCTTAAGCGATCCTCTTGCCTCAGCCTCCCAAGTAACTGGGACTACAGGTGCCTGCCACAACACCCAGCTTTTTT